TAAAAATAATGGATTTTTACAAAATATATAATACCTGTACCATGATGAAAGAAAGTGCATATAGTTGCTTTCTTTTACAACTTTTACTATTCTCTTTTTTACCGTTTGGTTTAAAAGTAACACGAATATGGACAAGATCGAGCTGATAAAGATTGGAGTACGACAACCGTCTACCGAGTTTAGAAACCTTTCTTACCGAATTGGAGGGCATTGGGCTGATTGAATGCTCTATGAAATGCTTGATGAAAAAGCTTGCATGTGCAGGAATTTTTACAACACCTTGACCAAAAATTTTAAACTACCAACAAAATTTTACCGGATCCATTATATACATTTTAAACCGGGGGTTTTTTAAAAAATATAAATTTATTTTTATTGAATTTGTAGAATTTATTTATTATTGGTTTTTCCTATTTTAGCAAAATTTTTGGGAATTTTGAGGAAATTATACAACGTCTTAGAAGAATTTTTCTTTCTTAAAAAAAAAGGGGGGGGGGGAAGCAATGAAATTAAAGTTTAAATTTAAAAAAGTTGCAAAATCATAAGAGTCACAATAGCTAAAGATTAAATGTATAAAGTTACAATTGAAAGTTATCTGTAGAGTTTGTCATTCACCTTAGAAAATGAAATGCCAATTAAGCTAAAAAGAATTAAGAGGTTCTTGAAATGATCAATTGTTTAAAAAAACTACAAAAAGATACAAAGCTCTTCCTTGTGAATGAATTAAAAATAAACAACAACAATATCAAGTAAGATACAGACTGGTCATTAGAAAAATTCAAAATATTACATTTTTTTTTTCAAAAAAAAATAAAACATTGAAGTTTAACCAATTAAAAGTTGAGATGAAGTGCAAAATCAAAATTCCAATCACGAAATAAAAAAAATGAAAAAAAATAATTTTTCAAGTCACAAATTTAGGGGGCCCAAGTTTGTCTAAAAATGTTAACAAGAACAAAGGTTTGGGAACAATGAAATTAATATTGTGAACCCTTTTTATTATTTAAGGATGTGGCCACGGCTGGCTTTATTATGCAGACCACTGCTATTTAATCAGTTTGAAATGTGCAAATTTTTAATATCCCAATATGAAGATTATATTTCTCGAAAAGACGCTAAAGAAACAATCTCACTTAAAACCCAAACTCAGTTGATAAACGTATTTAAAAGTTTTCCTTTTTTAAAACTTTGAATTCCAAGGATGAACATCAATGCATAAAAATGAATCGTTGCATATTATAAATATCGTACATCTGTTTATTTAAATATATACAAGTATATCTGTACTTCCAGATAGCCGAGCTTTAACAGCTATTACAAAATTCGTATGGATTGGCGCAAATGATATTGATAAAGAAGGCTTCTGTGTGTTTTTTTTGTGTACATACTTATAGAGTTCTATATGCATTGTTGTTTATATTAATTGGGAAAAATTGAAAGATTTTAATTTTTTTGTTTTCCCTTTTTTTTGTTTTTAATTTTTTTTATTGTGACAGGTGTAACATATATTTTAATATCAAACAATACTGCTGTGTATTTTATTGGCATTTGTAATAAATGCTCTTTTCAATTCAAATACTTGTTGATGTCATTTTTGGCAAAAAAAAAAAAACAGAGCAGAGTAGATTATGGCAGAAAAATGAGGATTGGTTTTGATGTAAAAATAGACGATGGTATAAGGAGTGAGATGAAATCTACTCTGAATTTTTCGAATTGGAATGAGGAAGAACCAAATGATCAATTAGGAGAAGACTGTGTGGCAATTATTCACAAAAAGGATTGTGGAACGATCTACCTTGTTATTGAAATGCAGTTACATTTGCAAGAAAATAAAATAACTAAATTTCTATGAATAAATAATTTTCATAATTGCTCGTCTTGTTTTGCTTAATAAAACAAGATGTGTTTGTGATGCCACTGATAGCAACATAGCCAAAACTTTTTTAAAAGCAAATTGAAAATTGAATATATATATAAAAAAAAAAAAAAAAAATATATATATATATATATATATATATATATATATATATATATATATATATACCCAAAGTAGGGTCTTTACAAAAAACCATGAAAAAACCCCACCAATTTTTAAAATTAAAATTAGGATAAATTTTAGTAAAAGGAATAAAAAATGAAGGCTAATGTTTTTGTTTTTTTAAAAACTTTTCAAGTATTCATATGTGAATTTGAAAACTCTAGCTCTGATTATTCAAAAGTTATTTCCAAGGTTAAAGTTTTTGAAAAGTAGATCAAACTCTAAGGTCATGGTCAAATGCTCGAAGTTCTACATATCCAATGAAAAGGGCTTGTCACAAGGATTAAATATCCATATAAAGTATGAAAGCCGTTATAAGTCCTTAAAAATTATAGTTTTTTTTAAAGTAGGTCAAACTCCAAGGTCAAGGCAAGGGTCAAAGTTCGGCACCCAATGAAAAATTTTTTTCAAAGGATTACATATGTAAAGTATGAAAGCCCTAGCTTTACCGTTCAAATGTTATGACCAAGGTTAGAGAATTTTCATAAGTTTCAAAAAAGAAATATCCAAGGCCCAGATATCAAAGTTGTTGGTATATAATGAAAAGGGCTTGCCACAAAAAAATACATATGTGAAACATGAATGTCCTAGAATCTACCCTTCAAAAGTTATGAACAAAGTAAAAGTTTTAAATTTTTTTGTGGAAAAATGGGTGAATTCCCAAAGGGCAAGGTCAAAATGCTAATTTGGTGGTATCCAAAGAAAGTTCTTGTCACAACAAATACACATGTGAAATATGGGAGTCATATCTCCACTAAATCAAAAGTTATGGGCAATTTTAAAGTTTTTGCGGACAAACAAAAAGACAGAATAACAGACGGAAGGACGCACACAACAAAAACAAAAATCTTTGATTATGGGGGCATAAAAAATAAATCTTTTAAATATAAAAAATAAAAAATTAATTCTACATATTTTTTTTTATTTTGCCAAATTTACATGTATTTCAGAGCTATAGCTAATAATTGTCCCCCTTTTTAAGCTGCTCTTTTTTTTCATTTATATGCAGCAGATTTTATTAAAAACCACTAACTTTGACCTTCATCTCGACATTAAGATATATCGACGATGTATTATCAATTAATAATAGTTACTTTTCAATCATATGACGATTCGATATAACCCAGTAAACTCAGAATGAAGACCACCAAGTCCTGCTGTTTTACATTTGGATAAAGGCCAACTAACAACTAAACTGTGTGACAAAAGATTCGATTTCAACTTTTTTATCGTCAAAGTTTTTTATGCAATATCATCCCGGTACAACCTGCATATTCATCGTCGCAATTCACGGCCAAGATATACAATCCTCTCCATTTTGGGAGGGAAGAGCTATATGCGGACTCCAGACCGTAGTTTGAGGCGATGTTGCCTATTATGTTTAAATCTTTCAATTTATTCGATACTTACGAGCATGGTTCGAGTACTGACAGTTTTTAAAGCAAAACAGGCTACCGAAAGAGAGGTTACAGGATTGTCAACAACCTCAGTTTAAGGGTCGGGATTTCATAAATTATGTGGTTGTTAAAATGACCTTGTTAGCAAATAAAACCTGTCATTGTGTTCTTTTGATCACATTTATATTTGTGTCGACCCTGCACTTTCACAAATTATAATTTTATTCTTAATACTTAAGAACAGTGGCAATTTTGTTGTGTATTAATGTAAAATAATAAAACTGTAATACAGAAAATTCAAAGTAAAAAATTTCGAAAGGAAAATGCGCTCTTAGTACCGGGTATATTTTCAGTCCGTGCTCAGTGGTGTGTGTTCCGGCTTAAACAATTGAACACACCCGGTGAATCGTACACATTAACAATAACAGAGCTTGTGCCCTGTTTAGAAATTCACGGGTGTACTCAGTTTGTTAACCTCTGTAAAGAACACTGAGCACGGACTGACAATATACTGTGTGTAAGTTTTTTCGAACATTTCTACTCTGAATTTTCTGTATAACAATTTAATATTTTTCATTAATACACAACAAGATTGCCACTTTCGTAAGTATTAAGAAAAAATTAAATTAGTGAAAGTTCAAGGATGTGTAATCAAACCCGTCAAGAACTTTTAGATGAAAAAAGATATTTATTATTTTTTTGTATGAAATGTTATTGCAATATATAAGCCGTAATATTATACAGAAAATTTGACAAATATATGAACTTCAAATAAGTGTCTATGCACCTTTAAATGTCTAATATAATTTGATCTACAGATGTATAAGCACGTTTATTGTTTGTTATTTTCAACTTTCATCATACCAGGTGTGTTAATCATATTTGCAGGGGTAGGCGGGGGGGGGGGGTAGTCGATACATTTTAGCGTTACCAACGGCATCAAGTTAACACAACTTAAAATGTTTTAAGGAAATTAAGTAGAAAAAGTGGGAAAATGGAAGAAAGCAAAAATATACTTTTTTTTTAGATATCATCATTTAGATATCACCATTTGTTGATCTAACTGTGTCTTCAATGAGTTGTGACAATTTAGTATTTTAGTACCATTTATTTAAAAGCTTTTAAAATATTTATTAGATCCGTATAGGTCTTCCCCATTTCTTTGTAATATAAATCACGGACAGAATTTCACGATTGTAAAAGCAAAAGAACAATTGATAATAATTCGTTATCGGCTTTTTTCTTATTTGTAAGCATCCTTTCAGTTTAATCCAAAGCGTTTTTACCATATTCATACGTTTAAAAATAATGTGTTTCACCGTTGCAATTAGGGCATAAATCATTTATTTCCGTTGCATATGTCATGCTATTCTCGGCATAAAAACTGGGCTGTATTAAGCAGAGTTTTTGTGTTGAAAGTTAAAGGGATCGAAGGGTACAGGATTTTAACGTATAATATCTGCATCATGATGAAAGAGAGTGAATATCGTTGCTTTCTTTTAAATTTATTACTATTGTCTTTCCTTACTGTGTGGTTTGTAAGATGTAACACAAATATTAACAAGATCGAGCTGATTAAGTTATCTGAGTATGACAACCGTCTACCGAGTCTAGAAACCTTTCTTACCGAACTGGAGAACATGGATCACATTCAATGTTCTATGATATGCTTGATGGACAAACTTGAGTGTGTAGGAATTTTCTACAACGCCTTGACTAAATTCTGTAAACTTCCAGCAAATCATCCAAACGAATCGATGGTCTACGATGTTCAACCTGGTTGGGAGTTCTGGAAGAATATAGGTAAAAAAATAACTAATTTGAATTGACATTTGTTTTTCTTCTCTTTTTAGTAGAATTTATTAATAGTATGCGCCAAGTGTTCGGCACTTTGAAGTGAAAATGGCGGGTCTTTTGGATGATGAGACCTTAAGTAATACGTTAGGAACGATAAAAAAAAAACTCAGTGTTAAATTGCCCGAGTGTCGAATTATAAGTCTAAATTTGAAGTCATTCACTGGGTATAATGACGTCTATATATATGTGAAAAGATTCTCGAATGTGACGTAAACCAATTTACAATGAATCAATCATTAAAAAAGGAAGGGAAAATATGACTGTCCAAGACGTTTTTCTCCAAGTAAAAGTTCTAGGTACTACCGGGGTATCTGATCATCTAAATTTTCAAGAGAGAAACAATTATTTTTTGTTACCGGTACATGAAATTTTCTGTGTTAATTATAATTTTGTTCAAAAGAAGATAAAACAATTAAATTCAGACAAATTTAAAAGTTTAAGATAAGGAGCAATTCACAACAAACCCAATTATCTTGGACAGACGCAATAAATCAAAAACAATTTTTATAGGTTTTTATTTTCTTGTGGCACTTTGGGCACGGCTGAATAATATAACATATTATTTCGGGCCTCCAAAGCAACGGGTAGGCCCAGCAACAACAACAACATTTCAGTTCAACAGCAACAACATTTCAGTTCAACAACAACATTTCAGTACATCAACATATCAGGTGACCTTGACCCTGGGAGACGCAGAGGCCAAGGTCAACAACATTTCAGTACAACATCAACATATCAGTTGACCTTGACCCCTGGAGATGCAGAAGTCAAGGTCAAATAATAAAAACTTGCAATGCAAGAATAATATTCACACATCCATGACTCTGGGAGGTGCAGAAGTCCGGGAAAAAAATAAAATATTTAGAATAATAATCACACATCCATGACTCTGGGAGGTGCAGAAGTCAAGGAAGAAAATAAAAATAAAATAGTTTTGTTTACACTGTCACAATATTTACATGGTATTCAACTTTGACCCTGTGTGGTGCAGCGGTCAAATAATGAACCCATATTACATCATAGTTCAAGTGATGTATGCCGCTCAGTTCGCAGTCCATCTTCAGAAGTGACAGCCGTGCCGAATATGTAGGTACAGGTAACCAGTTGCTATGTAAAACTCAGTTCGCAGTCCATCTTCAGAAGTGGGAGTCGTTCCGAATATGTAGGTACATATGACCACTTGCTTTGTAAAACTCAGTTCGCAGCCCATCTTCAGGAGTAACAGCCACGCCGAATACGTAGATATAAATGGCCACTCGCTATGTAAAACTCAGAAATGTCAGTTCGCATTCCATTCATCAGAAGCGACAGCCATGCCGAATATGAAGGTACAGATGACCATTTGCTTTGTAAAATTTTCCACTGAAAAGAAAAAAAAAACAGAAACCAGCAATATCTATTCAACAATGTACAATTGGGGGATTAGGGTAGGGGGGGATTTCATAAAATCTACACTTAGCCATTGTTTTCACAAATTTGATTAACACCAACCTTGCAACTAGCGTGTAACCGGCAAAGAGAGAGTTTGCAGCATGAGCATCTTTCTTTATATAATTGAAAGTTAGATAACTCGTGCCGAAACAAGGAGAGATAACTGCGCCCAAAAATATTGCGCTCCCAAAGTAAAAGCATCTTATTCGCATATGGGCGAGATAGATGCTATATTATCTGTAGATTTATAAGTACTTGAAATGATGATACCCATGATCTAAAAAAAATACAAAGTTGTTACTTTTTGAAAAAAATAATGAAAATGATGAAAATTCACAATAACAAAGATTTAGGTAAATTTTTACTGATAATATGAATAATTTTCTATTTCAGGATGTGACCACGGCTGGCTTTATCATGCACACCACTGCTATTTCCTCAGTCATAGACAAACGTCTTGGCATGACGCTAAGGTAGTTTTGCCATAACTCGAAAGGGAAAGGTTTTAATGTCAAGTTCGTTTTAAATCGAAAAAGTGTGATTTTTTCATTTAAAAACTTTGCTCTGGAACCAAATAAATTTACATGTATTTGAAATCAAAGTAATATTTTTTTTAAAAATATATACATAGTATATACTATGTACGAGGGTTGTCCGGTAAATCGTTGACAAGATGTCTAGTTTGAATAATAATCATCACTGCGTTCTGAAGTTTTCACTACTCTTTCGTACATATATTATGAATACAAGAGCAAATTTCAAATAGATATATGTATAAATAAACAAATTGTGAGGTTTTATGCTATGTATTATATCGCCCTACGGCGCACGGATTATAACGTCAAAGTGTCTAAAACAGCGTCACGTTTCATCTTTGCTAAAAATAAAGTTGGATAAGTCCCACTTAAATTTAGAAATTCCATTGATTTTACATACCTGAGTCTCCATAAACAGTTTAGGACCCAATCTGGCACACACATGCAATCTTCTGAAGATTTTTTAAGCAAGTAACAGACAGTATTATCACCATTATTCAACTAAATAGAGAATCTTATATGGAAGGTCGACAGTAACAGCGTCTTTTGCTATTACATTAGCAGTTTGCCCGTATGTTTTGTATTACCTGGGGACTCGATCAATAAGACTTCGCTAAGAAAACTATATTTCCATTGTATACTAAAGATATCGTGATATTTTTCTTTTTTTCTGTATTCATTTCATGTTTTAAGGTATCATTACAACATCCTTATCAAACCCGAATTGTTCTCCAGTGCACCGTAACGTCATTAAACGTCGCCATTTTTCTTGTTTAACAATTTTACCATTTTGAATGCTCGGGAAATTGCATAAAAACCTGCCGAAAATTTTAAAAAA